GAAGTTCTAGCTATGCCCCTGTTCTGTTAACACTAGGCTGGGTTTAGCCCTGGGCTAAGGTGCAGCGTTAGCACCTGTTCAAAGCTTCTGTGGGTGTGCATTTCTAAATAATCTCAAGTGTCTTTGTCCAACATGCCTCACAGCCAGTAGTGTTACATCATAGATTTTCTCAAGGAACTAGAGCGATGGAACCGGACTTTAATATACAGGAGTAATTAGGGCTTGTATTCAAGAGACTTTTCAGAGCAGAAGTGCTGATTTAAGGTCTGTCCCTGTCAGTAAGGCCATCAAAAATAAGAGAGAAATCTGATCTTATTATTACTTATTACTTATTATTACTTTAAGAAGCTTCATGAATATTTTTTTTCCAAGGATTCTTTATTAAAGGCAATGGTTACATATACAACAATGACAACTCAAAGAGCCATTTGAATGCATAAATGGTTATTTGCAATTGTAATCTATAAATGAAAACCTATTGTATATTATATATATAATCATAGGACCATTACTGTTATGAGTGTAGGTCTCATCTGTCCATGTAGCCCTTTCAGTGCTATGTAAAAGGCAAAAGGCAACTGAACTAGAACTGGGCAATATGACAATATTTATCGTTATTGTGATAGATTACTTCACAATATGTCACAATATGTTTTTCTGAATATTGAGGATATAGTCAGTATTTAAAAATCACTTCCCAACTGCATGTTTGATTGAAAAGAGAGCATAATTGCGATTTAATGCAGCACAGTGTGTGAAATGCTCAATACAAGTAATTGGTTTCATAGTTTCTGATGGCATTTTTAAAAAGTGGAACTATCTTGTTGTAACTTATAAGATGTGAGAAAAAAATAAATATTGTTTAGTATCATGGTATTATATTTGTTCATATCGCAGACCTCCAAACTGAACGCAGATCAGCATTCTTACTTTGACATGTTTGATAAATATGACCCTGATCTTTGTAGCAGAGCATTGGGAACCCAGACCCTGATCAGAATAACATAAAACACCAACACTTGTGCACAAAGACAATCATACCATAATGTTCCACTGTCATTCTAGTCTTTTCAGCCCATGTTCTTGAACAGGCCTATACACGTGGCATGAAATATAACAGCTAAAGAGTGGCCTTAGTAAGGTTAAAACCAATGTCAGCAAAGCATAGCAAACTCCAACCTTGTTCAGCATCTCTCCTCTTGCTTTCCTCCATTTCTCTCTCCGTCTCATGGCTTTGTGTTGTGTTCTCCTCCATATTCTGCAGGTAAGACACAAGCTATCTGTTACTATGGCTGTTTAGAGTTGTCATATGTGTTGAGAGAGGTAGAGGGTGTGATAAGAACAGAGAAAAAGGGAGGAGACAGAGCAGAAAGAATGGAGGATGGGCTGCTCAAATGACTCAGCACAAGAAAATTTGTGCACATAAAGCTACAACACAGTACGATGACTTTTCTATACTAGTACATAGCCAGATCTTTCCATGTTCTCTACTTTTGTGGGTACCATCAGCTAAAGGATCTAGATTCAAATCTTGGCTCTAAATTCCTTTCTGATGCACCAAGATATGCTTTAGAACGAACTCTGTAATGTACACGAACTAAACAGTGACACATACAACCATAATCATGTGTAAAAGTCTTTAAATGTTACCTCTAAACCAGGATTCGTGTGTGTTAGTGCTCCAGTCAGATCTTCGTGCTCTCAACACTTCCTCATTCTTCTGCGACTCCAACCAGACGCTGTTCTGCCAAAGAAACACAGCAGACACTGTTTTTCTTCCTAGACACATGACTCTGTTAGGTCACAGAGTCTGTTTTCTGCTTCCTCTGTCTATCTCACACTGTCCTCTCCGGGTGAGGTGCTGTTTCTGTCCCTGAAAAGAGCTTTAGCTTTAGCTTTGAAGCTGCAGACACACAGGAAGTCCCAAACGCTCGCGCATCTGAAGCTAATGCGCTGTTTACACTCTGTTTTTTCTATTTAGGCATCTCCTCTCCTGGTGGAGTTTTATTTAAGGGCCCCTATTTTCGTTTTTCTTGCATTTGATGTTTGGAGGTCGTCTAATTTTGGGGTTTATTTGATTTATGTATCAAAAACATCGTCATTATTCAGTGTTATATGATCAGAGTAGGGAGAGTTACCTTAAAAACACGTTCTGAGACTGATAACTTACTTATGTAATCTTTACTAATTATTAAAGTATTTTTAACGTCTTATATTGAAATGAACGCACTTTGCACTATGTCTACATCCATTTCAAAATGTCTTGAAATATTTTGGTGGAGTTGATCAGGTGTTCAAATACGGCATATTTAATTTGGAATACAAAAATAAAATAAATCATATATTACTTTGCGTTTGTTACTGAACGGTCACTGAACTCAATACGGAAATCATATTTCAAAGATAGCAAATTTGCATGATGTGAATTGTTATTTATTACTGTGGTAGTATGTTAAATCTTGTATATCTAAAGGTCTCCACAAGGGGTGACTGTCCACTCAAGTGACTTTTGTGTTTATCACCAAAAAAGAGGAAGTTACTTCAATAAACAGGCTTTAAGGTGTTTACTGAAAGATTCTCTGAGAAAACAGCACCATACAAAGCAAAGAATACAATATTTTGTTGCTGTCCAAAGGAAACCAAGTATCTCATTTTTTTTTTTGATGATAGTGTTTCTACATCATTTGAGCACAGGAGCTGCCCTTTATGTCGTGTGAAAATTTCATGATAGGTGGACCAAAGAAAAAAACTTCCAAAGTTGCTTGAAATAAAATCCCTTTACGTTAACTTACGTTAGAAGTTAAGAACATTTTTGCTGTCTCCTGAAAAGTCGCCATATTGGAAACTGTTTTTCTTTGGACAGTGATGATTTGAATATCTTACAAGCTTCAAATGTCTGCCAAATGTGGCATTGTGTGAGTATACACCAGTATTAGCTAACACTGCAGATCTCTTTGAGGTTATCAGAAATTAGCATTACACTAACAATGATGATCAAAAAAACCAAAGGCTACTTGTTCCAAACAATTAGGAGCAAACCTGATTCGACTTGTTTAACCAATTGGATTCAGTCTTTAAACACTTGGTTACACTTGCCTTAAACACTCAGTATAACTTGTGTATAGGTGGGTGCAGACGAAATAAGTGTATACCGTCTGTGTGTGTGTCTAAATCCATAGGCATTAATATGAAGTTGCCCAACTTCCACTCTTCTGGAAAGCTTTCTACAAGATTTTGGTTTATCTGTGGGAATCTTTGCTCATTCATCCAGAAGAGCATTTGTGAGGTCAGACACTGATGTTAGACGAGAGGAGAGGGCCTGGCTCGCAATCTCTGATCTAGCTCATCCCAAAGGTGTTCAATGGGGTTGTGGTCAGGGCCCTGTGCAAGCCAGTCAAGTTCTTCCACACCAAACTCACCCAGCCATGCCTTTATAGACTCTTGCTGGGGCACAGTCACGCTGGAACAGAAAACGGCCTTCCCCAAACTGGTCCCACAATGTTGGAAGCACACAGTTGTCCAAAATGTCTTCATATGTTGCAGCATTAAGATTTCTCTTCACTGGAACTAAGGGTTCTAGGCCAACCACTGAAAAACAACCCCATAGCATTATCCCTCCTCTACCAAGCTTTACACTTGGCACAATGTAGTCAGGCATGTAATATTCTCCAGGCATTCGCCAAACCCAGACTCGACCATCCGGCTGCCAGATAGAGAAGCGTGATTCGTCACTACGTAGAATGCGTTTCCACTGCTCCAGAGTCCAGTGGTGACGTGCTTTACATCACTCTCCACAAATGATTGGCATTGTGCATTTTGATCTTACGCTTGTGCGGTGCTACTTGGCCTTGGAAACCCATTTTGTGAAGCTCCTAATGGGCAGTTCTTTTGCTGATGTTGCTTCCAGAGGCAGTTTGGAACTCTTTAGTGAGTGATTCAACAGAGGATAGGCACTGTGTGCTTCAGCACTCAGCAGCCCTGCTCTGTGAGTTTGCGTGGTCTGCCACTTCATGACTAAGCTGTTATTGCTCCTAGACGCTTCCATTTCACAACTGTAAGTGCTATTATTGTGAAATGGAAGTGTTTAGGTGCAACGACACAATGCGGTAGATGACACAAACTCGCAGAGTGGGGCAGACGAGTGCTGAAGCTCGTAAAAGTCATCTATTCTTTGTTGCATCACTCACTACAGAGTTCCGAACTACTTCTAGAAGCAGCATCAGCACAAGAACTGTGCGTCAGGAGCTTCATGAAATGGATTTCCATGACCAAGCAGCTTCACACAAGTCTAAGATCACTAGGCATAATGCAAAGTGTCAGCTGGAGTGGTGTAAAGCCACTTCTATACAAGCAGTACTGTAAAGGCAAAATATGCCTACAATATTCACAAATCACTCAGTACTTGGAATTACCAAATACACCGATCAAACATTCATTTGGCATCATTCAACTTCCATCAGTTTAGTCATAGTTTGGTGAAAATGAACTGTACAGGTTTATGTTTCTGATTCTAGATAACACAACATACTTGGCCACACTTTCAAAAAGATTCCATACATGCTTTTACTATAAACCAACTTAACATTTCAATCACATTATTTCATTTTTTACATGTACAAAATCGTAAGTGAGGCAATAAAATGACTACTGCAGTCAAACTGCTGTTTGTTTATATTAACTTAATGGTAAATTAATAAAAACAGCCTTGGGCCCTGACATGAAACTGTACATTTTTTTGCATAAAAATAAATTGCTCTGGACATAATGAATGTATGCAAGTCGAATAAGAGTACTAACAAATTCCCAAACAATACACATTCATACGCACATATACACACCAAAAAACACACTAACAATAAAACCCTACATAGACATGTTCTCTAAAATAGGATTCCTGATTCCTTCTTTAAAAAAACAAAGTACAATTAAAAAATATCAAACATTTTGAAATAGCTTTTAAAAACAAGTCTACAACTACAAATGTCCATTGTTGTTGTTGGTTTTAAGGGGGAACAGATAAAAATCCTCTGGTTCTATTTTGTTTAGTACCCCTAAAAAAAAGGTCTTGCATGATGAGTGAGGTCAGTTTCTCATGAAGTGCAGTTGGGGTACAGCATTCTGGCCAGTGGTGTGAGAACTCATAGTCCAGGCATTATGTAAGCTATGTTGTCTAGGGTGTTTGACTGAAAAAGAAGAAAAAGATATATTATAAGCAGATGTTCATAAAGATTTTTTGTTCATTCTACATACCATCAAAGTAGTGATAGAACAGTTACAGTTTTATTGACATATCAAATTATAAAACCCAGTAATAACCATACTGGTTCAATTTTGAATAATATTTTTGATAACCATGCATGATCACTTTCTTTTGATGTTGCAAAGAAATACAAACAGTTCAATACAAATATCAATATAATACCTGTGATGAATTACTTTACTGTGTATTTTAAACGTTACCACAATAATCCAAAAAAACGTGATAATTTTCATCACTCATTTCATGCTAGAAAATGTTCATTCCATGCCATCCCTACATCAACTTTATAACTTTACTTATATCATGGGCTTAGAATTATATGATTATATCTTTTTATATCATTTTTACCTAAATTATATTACTATGTACATACATAGTACAAAATACACGAAACACATTATGAAATATTCATAATGATTGGCCATTTTATCTGGTATACCTAACATACAGGTGTACTTTTGGACTGACTGTAGCCCATCTGTTGCTGTACAATTTATCAGCTGTCCTTTAACCCCACCATCAATAGAAAGGGACCACCATAGGAACACTGCTAACCAGATATCATTTGGGTGGTGGACCATTCACAGTATCATCTCAATATCACTGCTGGTTAGTCCACCAACCAAAACTATCCAGCCAATAGTGTCCTGCGGTCAGAAACGAATCAATAATGAAGGACTAGAGAATGACTGACACATTGAAAAATATAAGCTACAGTCTCTAACTGTACCAACAAGCTAGGTGTTTTTAATAAAGTTGGACAGTAGTTGTACACAGTGTACACAGCGGTACTGCCGTGTCTGATTTACTCGTACCAGCGGCTCACCTTCTACCATGCCACTATCATATTGGTGTTACTGCTGGGTAAAGAATGATCCACCACCCAAATGATATCTGGTTAGTGGTGGTCCTATAGTGTTCTCTTTACATTGATGGACAGGGTAGAGGGAGGCTTGTAAAATGTGCAGCAACAGATGGACTACAGTCAGTAAATTTAAACCTACAGAGTATGTGTATCTGGAAAACAGCCAATGAGTATGAGTACTTCATGTGGTACTTTCGTTATTTTGTACATCCCTTGTGTAGTTAATCAATGTGTAGTCAATCGGAACGAATTTTTCTCCCATGTCTGCAAGCTCATTAGCAAACCATGTAGAGGGTGTGGTAGCTTGAAAGTTAAAAGAGCTTTGAAATTTAGTAGTGTAGATGTGAATGTAGCATCAAATCTAATTTATATTAATGCATTACTTTGCATCTGATAGTCCTGTTCCATGAGTCTACATCTGCTTGCCCCTTTTTACTCTTGATTCTAATGAATGCTTCCCTTGACTACCAGTCTGATCATGATGGTATGTGTCTCACCAGGACGCTGCGGGGACAGCCGTTGAGCTGGGGCACCTGGGCAGTGAGGCAGGTTAACGGACCAAGTGCACACAGTATGGAGTCCAGAAGAACAGAAAGACTGCCGGACACTGCCACCATTCCCTGCAGAGAGAACAGAATGCAACACAGCTAGCATTATACAAAAAGAATTATGTAAAGAGTAGGTTTGAGTGAATTAGGGGTAGTTTCGGTGTCTTCAGAGAACTTGTTACTCTAGCACAGAGGTGCATAAACGTTTTGTTTTGGGGGCAAAAGTTAAAGATAATATTAGTATTAATTAAAGTTAAAAAGTATTGTAAAACACTAGACTATATTTTGCTACTAAAAAATCTTTAAAATACAAAAAGAACATTTCCTATGTTATAACAATGTGTTTGTTGGATTAGGGTAAGTTTCTGTCAGGCCAAATCAAATCTCCTCTCTTTCCATTTTAATGTTAAAATAATCTGGAAAACCAGACAGGACTACCTGGAAAAACTGTTTGTGTGAAAAATCAGTTTTGGTTGCTATGGGAGATTGTGTTTTTAGTTTTTTTAAATTTAGAATTTTCAGTTATTGACAAATATTTTTACGTGATATTGCTTTCCACAAAGTAAATCTAAGTCTTTAATATGTTATCTTACTGATTATTGCAAACCAACAAAGAAAATGTGCTCACTTTATTAAACATTTTTCCTGAAAAGCTGAAAAGGTGTCCCCAAGTGTTTAAAGATCAGAGCAATTTAGCTTGACCTGTGTTGTCGGTATGCTGACCTCTGTCTCTTGTAGCCGGTGTCCAATGAGCGAGAGGGACTCTCCCAGCAGCTGCAGATGGGCAGCGGCATCGATGGGATCCACCTCTGGAACACGCACCGGTGACAGAGCCATGCCCAGAGAAGAGCGACCTGCAGAGGTCAAGCCTGATCCTAACCCCACAGCCTTACTGGAGACTGAGAGGGAGAAAAACAGAGAGAAAGTTAAAGTTATAGAGTTTTTAGTTAAAGTGATCCTGGATATAGTCAATCAGCCTAAACATGTTTGGTGTTTGAAGTTGCTTCTTTAGTTTTGCCTTTTATGTATACAAATGAACAAAAATATGCACTAGCTCACCAAGCCATAGATTAACTCTGGGAACCTGAATCTGTTTTTAGCTGTGAGAACAGCATAGGACAGCATACACCTTCAGTAAAAACATTGCTATGACAAAACAATTAAGAGCGGCTTTGTTTTTACGCTTACACAATATTATTGTAAGAACATCAATCTTACAATTTAGGGCAATGCTGTGAAAGAGATGCTTCTGTTAAATTACATTTATCACATATTAGAGCAACACTTGGATGATACTTATTCTATGCTTTGTGTAATATATCATATGTAATAACTTAAACTGAATAAGACTATGGGGGATGTTACCTGAGCATGAATTCATTTTTTTCAAACATTTTTTCAGCAGAGTATCTGAAGTTTCTATGCCTCACTCCTTCTCCCAATGTGAATAGCTGGCAACATATCATTAAGGAAGAATGTCTTCTGCACTGATATCCAGTTTGAGACAATTGTCTGTACTGGGAGGACTGTTATAGTTTATAGTATACACTCGTATGGGTGCCCCTGGTCAAATGACGTTTTGGTGATATTCTTAGTGAAAACAAGTATGCATCCTTTACAGCAAGGTTGTCAAACCCAGCCACTAAAAGGGCCATATTAAAAAATCTCAACAAATCTGTGGGCCAGAGAACATGTATGGTTTTATTTAATTCTTAATTAACATTTTGACCCCAACTGTTTAATTAGATTTAAATAAAATCATAGGTGTTCTCTGCAAAACTGCAACAGCAACAGCAAGTATTACATAAAAACTGGAATGTTCCCAGGAGGTAGGTTTTTTTACACGTGCCTATTTGCTTGAACTAGGCGCCTGGTCTTTTTTCTAAATGAAAGAGCTTCCCTACTGTGAGATTTGAATTTATACTCGTTTTTCCTTACATGGTGGGACATAAAACCCCATAAAAACAGACAGATAGTTGAGTCAAGCTGTCTGAAAAAGGCATATTCCCAAGAGTACTGGAACCTTTGTCTATTTTTATAGATAGTAGCACAGCATATAGTGTCAGACACCGCATGTGCATGTCTACTTGAGACTACTTAACAACTCAACAAAGTGTGACGCAAGTATGTAATGATGTAGGCATGTAGTTGGCACAATGCTAATTGCTGGACATAAGCTGATATGTTATATATAAGCTATATATCGCTGCTGTTGGATAAAAACCTTGTATATCCAAAATAGTAACTTGTACAGTACAAGGAAAAAAACATACTTTACTTTTAATGTAAGTCAGTGGCACCAGACTTTTTTCCACATCATTTTGGGCCATTTCTTTTGGTCCGTTGATCATGAAATTTACATACAATAGACAACAGTGCCTAATAGGAAAATAAGTCTTGGGCATTTCTAATGGACAATCCTAATTTCGGGCTTAAGTTAATCAATGAAATGAGAAATCTGCCAACTTAAAAAACCACCAAGACAGGACAGTCCTGGACCCACTTTCAGATGTGGTATTATAAAGAAAAAGAAAAACGTGGAGAAATAGTAGAAATGTTACTTTTGCTTTTGCTGTCCAACAAGGAGCTCTTCTGCCTGACTGTGGTGGCCTCAGCTTTATTCTGTTTATGCTGAAGATACTGGGCTTTTTGCTTCCACACCTGCACAGAGGAACAATCAAGTGTTTCAGCACTACTGACACTAATTATTCAACACCCAGTACAAGCAGCGTTAGTTACTGTTTAAGTCACAGTTTTTTCTGACCTGCTTTTCTTTTTCAGGCAATTGTTTCCAAATCTCTGCAAGTCTCTTGCTCAGCTCCCCAAATACTACAGAACAAAAGGACAAGGTTGGTGATTCCATCACAAACTGCAGTTCAGTCAACTGTAAATTTAAAGGTGCTGGTAGTAATTAATCTACAAATACAACCATAACACACACAAAATACATAAATCTCAGTTAGTATAAAGGATCGGTACATCTCTGCAATCTGCAGCAATTTAGTCATGAAGTCATAAAATGTACCATGAAGAAAAAATTGCATTAGATTTAGTGACACTCACCGAGCCCGGGCTGTTCTGCGTTTATATTGAGCCTGTACTCTTTACAGAACACCTGGTACGCTGTCATACTCTTCTTCTTTGGCTGAAATAAAAAAACACGGTGAGACCTGTTAATAGTCTGAAGTTCCAAATTTAGGACCGGAAATGCTAATTACCCTGCACATTTAGTAATATCATTCTTTAAATGTGGAGCTATTAGTACACATTTAAAGACAACAAAGTTTTTGTTAACCTGTAATAAGATTACAGGTTAACAAATAAGATTTTACGTCAAACATTCTTAAGGACCTTGTTTACATCTCAAACACTGAATTATGCAGAAATGCCACTTTAAAGACATTTTCACGGTATGTGATGTGTATCGTGACATTATGACAGACAAAATGTACTAATAGCTCCACACTTAAAGAATAATTTGACAAAAAAAAAAAAAAAAATCACAATTCCCTCCTTACTCCAAAACAGCCAAGACATGTTTGATGTCTGAAGGTGGCTTCTTTAGTTTTGCACTGCAGCTATGAGGCTAATGTAGCTAGCAAGTAATGGAATCCACCAATTAGTATGGTGTAAACTGCATGCTCAAGGTGGGCAGTATGGCAAAAATATAATATCACGATAGCTCATGAAGTTTTCAGAATACATAAACTGTCACAATAGGTATTTTTCTGACATCTGATTAGTTGGAACAGATAAAGTAGTGCCTTGTTTAAAAAGTACTGTCAAAAACTATCAATTCAATGATCTGTATTCAACATCTCACATACTACGCTACATTAAATCCTATTAAAACAGGACTACGCTGTCTTTTTAATCAAACATGCAGGTGGGAAGTGTTTAAGTACTAACAACACACAATATGCTCAGAAAAGGATACTGTGACATACTGCAACATAATGAATGATGATAACAATAAATATCGTCATATTGCACTGCCTTACTGCATACTTAAATCATCATGCACCCACCTGAAACTGTGGAGTCGTTACATAATTTCAGTTAGACTTGTGTGGTTTCTAACACTGTATGGCACATTGTTATTATTAACATTATTGTTATAATGTTATTACACAACATTATTTTTAGTTATGTGACAACTTTTTTTTTTTCTTTTCAAAACAGCATGTAAATACTGTATAGTAGCTAAAGTGCAAAACCGGAGAAGCAAACTTACCAGACATGGTTACCAGACATGTCTGAGCTGATCAACGATCAACTACAGGGGTAATTTTTTTTCTTTTTGCCAAAGTACTCCTTTGAAAGGGCCCATATCATTGAAAACCAGATTTCTCTATTTTTTTATGAAAGAGTTTGATGTAGTATGCAAAGTACTTGGTAAAGTTTGAAAATGTACTGTTCATTCTCCAGTCTATACAGTTCATATATAGAAACTAAGCTGCAAAGTGCTTTTTTTGAACTCATTGTTTTTGTGATGTCACCAAAACCCTTATGTTTACAAATATCCAACCATTCACCCTACAGCAGCTTAGCTTTGTCCTTGCTGAAGTTATAAGTAGTGTTTCAACTCAGACTGTTTGGTGAATAGCCAATCAAAACAAAGAAAATTTACGTATATCGCTCTTCAAGGCACAGTATGATGATGATTTAAATAAAGTTCAACCTCAGTCTGGAGGGGAGCATCACCTTATCTTTGTCATGCTTGTCCCTGTCCTTCTCCTCTTTCTTTTTCTTCTTCTCAACCATGTGGTCACTGCTCTGATGATGATGATGATGAGAATGGATTGGAGGCGCCATGGCGTACATCCCTCCTGAAGTGCTGTGATTGGACGAGCTGTGGGAATGGGAGTGGCTTTTGGACAGGTCCCCTATAGAAACAGTAGAAAGCAAATAGTAATTTTAGCTCTATGGTATTTAATCCAAACAGCATCCCTTTTCATCACCTTTAGAACGACAAAGCCTAAGATGAAGAAACAGAAAAGCTATAAATACTTGAATGAGAGGTACTCTCACCTGTAAATCCTTTCTTTCCCGAACTTCCTCCTTTGCTGTGCTTCTTCTCCTTTGAGCTTTTGTCCTTGTCCCTGTCTTTCTCTTTCTCCTTTTTCTTTTTGCTCTTCTTGCTCTTTTTCTTCTTTTTGGAGAGATGTGTGTAAGAATCATCAATGACTAGTTCACCTGCCTCTAGCTCTCCTCCTGAGGATGAACTATTGCCTCCCAGTCCTCCTAAAGACCCACCATAGTGCCCTAAGGGAAAAGAGAATTATGTATATTATCACATGCAAATACATTAAAGAAAATACAGTTAAACGTTTCACACAGTAATAAACCATTATTAACCATTACTTCTGCACTTAACCCTAGCACTACTAACCTTTGTATATAAGACATACGATCTTACCAGAATTAACAGCATCTTACAGAGAGTTTGCAATATGTACCGGTAGAACAGTAGCGTACAACACAAAATATTTACATACAGCCGAGCTGTTCTTTGCTCCCAATGTCATTGTCCCTCATTCTTGGCTCCACCATCTCCTGCCATGTGCTTTTGGTTCTCTTGTCTCTCCCTTGTCCCTCTTTCTTATTAGCTGTAGCACTAGCGTTCAGTTTGTTATCTCTGCTTTGTCATTGTCTCTAGGTGTTTCTTACCGAAGAGGTGAATATTTATGCCCCTTAGTTTGCTCCTTTCCCTAGCTGTGCATTGTTGTGGATTTGTGTCTTGTTGTTTTGTTGTGTTTTACTCTTTGTTTCCAAAGCTCTGTTTCTCCTATGTTCTAGTTCCTGTTGTGCATTTTATGTTCTCACTTTGTCAAACTCGCAAATGCATCCTGCCTCCTTGCGTGCTACAGTACACCCGCTTCCCTTAAAGTGTTAGTCTGAAAGACATTCTAAATTATACTCTCTCACCACCCATGCCAAAAGTTGTTGGTTAGCCACGAAATGCTGGTGTTTTTTGGTGCGTCTTTAGTTTCGTCATGAAGCTACTGCAGCTAACAAATAATGTACACTAATACATAACAAATTAGTATTGTGCAAACTGCATACCTAAATCACTTTTCCTCAAACGGAACTGGGTTGTTAAGCAATCTCACATGGACCTGCTTATGTGGTCTCTATTACTGGTAAATCATGTTCTATAAAAATGGACAAAAGTATTGAGATATTTAGGCTTCAAGATGGTTTCTACTGCTGTTTTTTTTTACAGCTGCATATATTCTTTTGTTTGTTTTTAATATCATGGTATACAGCAGGGGTGTCAAACTCAACCAGTAAAAGGGCCACATAAAAAAACCTCATCAAATCTGTGGACCAAAAATAAAAAGTTTTTATTTATTTATTTATTTTTTAATTTATGTTGTGCTAAAACCCAAACTGGCCATTGTTTATTCAAAATATGTAAACACTTCAACAGTAAAATACAGACACTTGTAGTAGACCTTAATTATTACATGGATGAAATATTACATGGATACTTGAAATATTTTAAATTTAAATGTCCCCAGGAGCTCAGTCTTTTAAACGTACCTATTTGCTTGAACTAGACACCTGGCATCCTTTCGTTGCTGCAAGTTCGTTGCTGCAATTTCCAGCTGCTGAGCTAATGCTAAGTGTTTATGGTGGCTGAACTGCAGCTGAAATGCATTCTGATGATATGACTGGTGTGGAATTGCGCAGAATTGTGTAGAATTCAGGCGTAACCGCTGTCCCATAGACTGTTGTTGGGGTAGGAAAGTCAGAGCACATTACATTGCAGTGCATGCTGGGTACTGTAGTGCAGCACATTGTGAAACAGGCTAATATTAATAGAAAATTAAAATGCTTTTGTGGGCTGGATAGAATTGTGCGGCGGGCTTGATCTAGTCCACCTGATCTAGCCTTGTGCTTGACACATGGGGTATACAGCGTCACAAACTACATAAGCAAGTCTACTTGAGATTACTTTAAGTGGTGTTGCTGATGATTTAGGCATGCTGGGGTTTAAGTTTCCTTTACTTGTTAGCTACAGTAGCCTCACAGCTCTTGCGCAAAAATTAAAGAAGCAAACTTCAGACACCAATCATGTTTTGGCAAATTGATTTTGGAGTAAAGGGTAAACTGTGCAAGCTATCGCTTTAAGCAGTGCTAAGGACCAATCTGAAGAATAACTCTCACCTTCCACTTCCACTTCTTTCCCCACCACAGGCAGCGGCTCTCGGCTGTGCTGCTTCTTTTTCGGCAGCTTGGATGACGTCATTCGGTCCCTTTCCTTCTCCTTCTTCATCCCTGCTTTTTTCACGCTGGAGGACGAGTGATGTCCTGTGGTCCCCGAGGAGGATGACAAGTGCGGAGGGAAGGGGAACCCCTCATTCGGCCCTCCTCCCTCATTCCTTTCTTTGGGTGAAAGGATGAGCTTCATCTTCAGCCCCTCAGCCTCTCTGAGAGTGAGCGGCTCACCCCTGCCTGCACCGCCATGGAACAAGGACGACTTGGAAGAAGAGGAAGAGGACGACGAAGAGTGCTTCTTGGATGATGAGGAAGATGAGCCAGGGGGCCGGGAGTGGGAATGAGAGAAGGAGGAGTGGCTGCTCTTGGAGCTGCCTTCACGCTTACGGTCTTTAGAGGAGGAGAGTGAGGAGTGAGGAGGGTAGGAGGGTTTCTTGTGCAGGTGGGGGCTGGGATCTGAGCCTGTGGCCATAGGGGAGGTGATGGCCTGCAAGAGGCCCATAGCAGTGTCTGTGGAGTGTGGAGGCTGAGAGGAGGATGAAGAGGAGAGTGAGGGTGAGCGGTCTGAAGACTTGCGCTTCTTCTTATGAGGAGGAGGACCAGAGCCATGGTGGTCTGAAGAAAGACGGCAAGGGGTGAACAATATGGCAAAAATACAATACTACTATACTTTCACTTTCCACGATACACAATGTGTAACAATATTTACTTTTTCCGACACCTGATAAGTTCTTTTTTGCCTGTTCCAACTTAGTAGTGACACATTTAAAAAAACACTACCAAAAACCCTCAATATAATGATTTTTGTTCAACATTTCAGATACCGTGCTGTACTTGTCCAATTAAACTGACTGATTATGCTCTCTTTCTCATGAATCATTTAGTTGTTCAGTGTTCTAGTTCTGACATCCATGAGTTACTCAGATAAGCACGACGTGATGTAATTTATCACAATATGATAAAATACTGCATACTGTCTAGTCCTAAAAGACAAAATGCATAACCAGGTTTTAACACAAACTCTAAACTTATTATTCTGTTATTAACCTTGGCCAACACCCAACAAATGTGATTTATTTGTGCTATTTATTTAGCTGTCAAAAATGTATTTGATCACGTGTATAAACTACAGTGTCTTGAACATCAAGTATGACTGGTGAAAATTAGGGAGGCTGAGATGGCAAAAATATATTTTAACAACACTTCAAGAAAATTTCTTGATAGACAACATGCATCACAGTATTTACTTTCTCTGAAGTTTAATTAGGTGGAACAGACAAAATTACTATCAAAAAGTATGAATGACTTTCATTCAAGGTTTCACATACTGGGCTGCACTAACTCCAATTAAACAGCACTAATCAGGCTAACTTTTTAATGAAACATGCAGTTTGTGAGTGTTCTTCTCAAGTAATGACAATATTCAGGATATGCTCAAAAAAGCATGTTATGAAGTATTGTGACATTAAATATTCAATGAATATGATTTAAGATTTAATGAATAATTATCACATTACTGATACAGTCCTCACTCGATTTTTGTGCACTTTCAGAGGCGCCATGAACTTACTTAACCAAACGCTGGTGTCTTTGCTGCTGGCATGGCAACAACCATCAGATTGGATGTGCAGTAGGCCGATTTTTTTTTTTCATTCACATCATCTTTAGTGTGTAATGGCCTTAAGGCTTATTATCTAGTCACAACTTCATTAACTACTACTATGAAACTACCATGTAAGATATGTATGTATGAGAGTCAGGAATGGAAGTCTAGACCCACCAATGGTTCCTTTGTGATTCTAGGTGTTAACTGAAATTAAAATCAAGCTGAAATAACATGACTCATTTTTCTGAGACAAAAATACTACATTCTGAGTCCTTTTTAGGCATGACGGTACCATGTAACTGCAGTCCAAGAGTAACTTAGGGTTAAGCTTCTTTTACCAGGGCATAGGATTTACATAAATTAAAATAGGACTAAAGGCTACTGAAAGCATCACCTGTGCCTCAATATCTTATGTGTTGGTGCACAAAATATTCAAATTCCATAAAACAAATAATTATATCAGAAAATAAAAATTTCAATAAATTCTCTCTTTGTTTTTGCATTCTTTGAGTATGCATACATATGAAAGGCCTCTGGCATATTTTACAATGATAAACACCCACAAAAAAACAGAAAAAAAAAAAACTTTTCTCTTCATCACACCTACCTCTGTAATAGCAGTCATCAGAATGCTTTTTCTTTTTCTTATGTGAATCTCCCCCCATTGAAAACAATTCAGAGTCCTAGTCATTGGCAGACAAAACAGGACAAAACAGAATTACACAGAAGCCATATCTAAAATTTGTAAGGTAAAAAAATATGTTTGCACTCAATAATTAACTATAGCTATACCTACACTACAACAGTAGAGGCCAAATGGAGTGAAGGGGAGAAAGTCATGGTCCCATCAAGACCCCTTTATTCCAAATGCCATTTCTACCTAGGTAACATAACATCAGGTTGCATGTATAGAATATCATTATGAAATACCAACAGCGAGGTGATCACAATGCCATTGTACAATAGCTGACAGGAGGCAGATATAGATAGATTTGTAAATTATACAAGTATAATAAACCAGGGGTTTCTGACACTATCCACAAAGATTTGGTGTGACTGCAGGTTTTCATTCCAAAAAAGCAGGAGCAACATCAGTTGTTAAGACTAACTGATTAAAACAAATGGAATCAGGTGTATTCCTACTTGATTAGAATGAAAATCTGCAGCCACACCAGTCCTTTGTGGATAACACTGGACACCCCTGTAATAAACCATGTACTGTTACATTGTAATTGAGTGATATTACATGCAACAGCAACATGGTATTCTTAAAAACATAGACAGAAAAATCTTTATCTGCTCTTCATTAGCAAACAATTGGACATGGTCACCAACCTTTTGTCACAAAGTTCCTGCTTAAAAGTAGGGCAACTTGATGTATAATGTTACCATGTCTACCTCCCTGCTGTTACCTTAGGCTGTTTCTTGGAAGTTTTGCACACCTGCGCAGCAATTTCTTCTTCCTCTCTCAACAAATCTTTATATGAACGCTTTTTCTCCCTTTGACTGCGCCCAGCCACCAGGCCCATCTCTCCCTCCATGCTTGACATCTCTAAGAGGATGAAAGAAGCATTAAATCTGGTTCACAATCCATTACCGTGAAGCAGTTGTGGGGAACTGAGCGGCAGAGTCCAACAGTTTGGCGATTTCCCTGCTCTAAAATACTCTGGCTAAACATGGCAGTTAACACCCGAGTTGAATCAGGTGTGTTTAAGCAGGAAAATCACCAAACAGTGCAAGAATCCAGCCCTCCTGGACTGGGGTTCTCCACCCCTGCTGTATGGCCAGGAAAAATAACTGTCTGACCATGCTCACCCATCACTCCTTTCTTCTTTATCTCCTCAAAAGCCATGGTCACCCTTCGCTTATTTACTGGGTTTTACCAATCAGCCTCTTTGACTGGTGACCCTATTGTACAGAAGAGAATGAGAACTGTAGCCTTAATTAACTCATAGGTTACAATGCACATACTGTGTGTGACTTCTTTTCTATTCAGGCTTAAATAAGCATCGACAAAGCAGCTCAGGCACTAAACTCATTGGACAAAAATGAGTCGCCTACATCATTTCTTTTCTAATATGCAGTTATGCATCCACTTGCCTTAATAACAGCATCAATCTCGTCAGGTAGGGATTACATCAGTCTCTTTAATTTCCTGTCCATTGTAACCCACTCTTTCACAAACTGGGTGCACATTTCAGCTAGAGCTCGTGTGTGCCTATTTCAGCATTTCACCTGCGGTTCCAAAGTGAGTGTTGAGAAACTGTCCGCGTGTTCCATCATGTCTATTGAACAATTCACATACAGACACCCTACACTTGACATTCTGGAGTGTGGGAATATCAATGTTGTGTTTTGCTTTGACAAGAAGCTCAAAGTTAGTGGAACACTGGGCTAAAATGGAAATGAACTCAACAGACTGGTGTAATCCTTACCTGACAGGACTGGTGCAGTCATTAAGGCAAAGGGATGCCTAAACAAGTATTAGAGAAGAAATAATGCATGGGGCAAACCTTTAAAGCTCCTGGGAGCTTATATTCACTACACTAAACAATGCTAACAAAGTAGTTAATCTTTGAATAATGCAAATTAAAATGTAAACATTAAGGTCAGGGATGCACAATGATATCAGACTCATATCAATATACAATGCTGGGTGACTGTGCTAAAACGTCTGCATTGCATTTTTCAATCAGCATATATCAATAATAAACAAGCATGCAAATAAATGTTGCATTTCTCTGCAATGCTCATCCAGGTGGATCTAGTGTCAGCTTCTACATTTTATAACTGTGTAGGCATTTGTATGGACATTATCAGATACATTCATTAAAAATATCGGATAATAGCATCAGCCCAGACCGCCCATATCGATGCTTCCCTAATTAAGGTCTTTAACTACAGTTTGAGCTAGAAGAGTAAGAGCCACGGACAGTGGGAAGTCAGCCTGGACAAAAAGTTGACATTTACTTCGACAAGTACTGTCAAAGTTTCTCTTTCAGGTCCAGGACCGTTATACAGTGACAGTATCACCCACCCTAACTGAGCTACTTAAGGAGATCAGACTCTGAGGGGGTGCTGTCACATTTTGTTGTGTGTCAGGTGGACATGGAGAGAGAACAGAGATGGAGAGGCTGCGAGGCGGAGAGAGGACGCGGGCTAACCTTACAGTTTCACAGTGCTGTGAATGCCGCCTAGCGCCGCGGCTCGCATCCAGCCACACGGAAACGAAATTACGGAGCGAGCCGAAGCTCCCTGTTTAATTGAGTGGATATTTCCCGCCTACTTTCGAAAAGACACACAAACACACCCCCTTCGCTCCATCGGGGTCCGGCTCGCTCCCGTGTTTGAGGTCCGAGGATTCGTGTGGCTGAGGATGGGCGACTCTCCGCCGGCCAGCGCCGCCACGAGAGCCCGCGGTTTCCGTTAGTACAGGCCGAAACAGGGCAGCGATTAAATAAACAAGCACTTTATTGTGCGTCTTGCTTCTTTGCTACAACACCGCGGATGCAACGGAGGACATGAGATATTTTACGATATGCAGAAACGTGATTAATGCAGAAATAAATAATAAAATTACCTTCGCCGATCCCTCAATTTAAGCGACGCCAGACGCCATCTTTGATTTCAGTCAACAACAAAGCATGGAGCTGAGAGGAGGGTCCAGCACAGCAGCCCAGAGACAAAACCAGCTCTCATTAAAAACCGCTCAGAACAGTTCAAACTAATAATAATTCACGATTTCTTTCAAGCTATCGCACGTATTCACGTCAACTTACTATTTCAGTGCCCAAGAAACATAAAAATCCAGAGTGGACTGAACTTTAAGACATTTTTATTGTCATTGTCTGGTACAGGTTCAACAACTCACTTACAAAAATGGCTTACAGTGAACAGTAATGACTGGAAACAGATCATGCAATTCAAATCAGAAAGGCATAAAAATCTTTTTTCTATCCACAGGACAACATGGGTGTAAAGGCAGTTCATTTAGTCATACTCTTTGTACAGAGACTTGTCAAAAAAATTACAGCATATGGTCACACATAAATAAATATCTCAGGTATGTCATTTAACCACCATTCAGCTTTTTTAAGCACTTTGCTATCCACCCACATCCAACCTTCTCTACCTGTCTCCCATATTCTGCATCTGTATACTCAGAGACGTGAAACTGGCCAGCAAGTCAGTCACTTCGTCCACCTGTAAATTGTACACACACAGACAAAAACAGCTTTAAATCAGTCATCAAAAATTCAGCTACAAAAGAGCTGCAATAGGAATGCGCTGGCAACTTCCATGAGCCATCAAGCACACAACGACTGATTGGCAGTTTTTCTAAAACAGTCCCACCAGGATCTCATGGCCTTCTTTTGTGACTGCTGCAGGCTAAAATGCTCAATTTTGTAGCACATTTTCACAATATCTGCAGCAATGTTCACACTATTTATTTATTTATTTTGTTTACTTATTGGTGAAAACAACAAACTGAAAATTAAGTGTGCCTCAGAGAAACAAAAACATATAATTTCATAGTTCCAAAATGTAAAAAAATTAAGTTATAAATTCTCATAGGAAGCACTTCAAATTATGTAACTACTTGAAAACAAAATAAGAACCATGTTTTTTCAGCAAAGATAAAAAATTGTCAGCAAAGATAAAATTAAAACAAAGTGCTCTCAAACTCATTCTGGTAGACAATCCATCAGCACTGTGTGACACTGGTGATATCTAAAAATAACTGGCACAATATTTGCTTTTTAGGAATCTTATGAACTTCACAATGGAAAAGTGATTGTCAACCATTGTTTGTGGGCCACATCAATGTTGCATGCTGTGCAAAATATCCTGCACTGGGAAAAGGTTTGTCTCGTCTTGGTGAAACATTTGTTGGTAATTGTGCTAATTTCCGCATCCATTGCTTCCCAAGCATGTAGCACAAAAGATGCATGCTTATAATTGTGAAAGCACTTAAATGATTTACGCATTTAATGCAAAACTAATGCAGTGTTTGTACAAAATTGCAGGCTCTTGCTCTTGTGATGGCAAACTCCTGGAGAGAATGATACAAAAAGTGAAAATACAGAACAATGATGATCAAAATGATCCAGTACGATCCAGTAATTTCATTGCATTACATTATCAGTTAATAGTGGTTTTCTTCTTTTGTAAATACGTTTCAAAGACATGAGGTTTCATTTTGTCAGTGATGACACAGTGACTGTCATGTCAAAACCTTGTGATACCTTTCACTTACTTCACGATAAACAGGCCAACAGAAGTGTTTCAAAATTAGACTAAACCAAAATTTTATAATAAAATCTTGGTTATATCCACATACACTGCAATTAAGAATATTCCTGAACTTAAATGAATTGGGAAAGCAAGAGGATCCCAGGGAATGAACACCTGTCTGCATGGAATTCAGCACATGCCCTCATCTTAGAAATGCGAGGAAGTGAAGAAAGGTATCTTAGTATTTAATGGGACAGCACATTTATGTATTGTGGCTTCTTGTAGTTATCGTAGGCCTTATTATCAGTATTTACTTATACAGTGGTGAAATAAAAGCACTGTTAGGCTTAAAATGTATTAAGATATCATTGTTGACCCTCATTTTCCTGTCCAATCAAATATTTTCTTCCTCAGTGTCTGTGGATGTTGCCTTATCACTCAAATATAGGTCTGTCTGTAACCATTTCTAACTCGTGTTTTTTTACCTGTTCTTTAGTGCGGGTGTGCTGTAGTTGAGTGGAAATATGCTCCAGTTTCTCTCGCTCCTCATTTTGTCCCATCACATTGAGGTACTCCCGCAGCATCTGAATGATCTACAAAAACACAGCAGCATTTCAGCAAAAGTGAAGACAAATGTTGGTCTCATTCACTCAACAATTCATTTAAATATGTTCTTTATTGTAACCATCTTAAAACATACTTGTCCTCTTTATTTTCTGCCTCTTATGTGCCTCCATGGGGCATGGAGAGCACATCTAAACTAGAACTCCATCTAACTGCCATAATGGAATCATTATGCCGTTGGCTGACTATATGTATTACAAATGTGTATTTTTAAAGGACTGCCCTAGTTATTGAACCATAAATGCAATTTGTCAAAAAACTAGCATGCTGTCTAAGGCCATCTCGCTGCGATTTCACAGTTGCTGAAGCATGAAAGTTGGCCATCCTCTCCATGCCCTATTTAAACCTATGAGAGATGGGTTAGTACCCTGTAGCCACGTCCAAAAACCTAACAATTAGAATTAGAAATCTATATGAAATGATGCAGACTATGCAAGCCTCACAAACCAAACACTAGGAAGTGCTTGTGTACCAGATTATCACTATAGCCTACACTAATCAAATGTATGTAAATGCATCTTTAATTACATCTTGAGTTACATAATGAACTACATTTACATTCACTTTTACATTCTGTGTTGACAGACCCGAGCCCAGGCTCTGACTTTTTCCCTTTATTTGATATCAAGAAATGACAAGAACTGTACAATTTATTCCACAAAAAAGGCTGTTTGCACAAGATTAACTTTCCATCAAATCTAATAAAATATCAGCTCCTCTACAGAAATACATATGTGTTCGTTATTGAAAGGTTACAATCTGACCAAATTTCTCTGCTTGTTCCAAAGAGCTAAGAGTATTACACAAAGCTTCTGTTGTTATCGGTGATAACTGTGACCTACTGACATCTGCAGTCCTGGATTACTTATTAAAAGCAGTATAGGACTTCAAGTGCTCCATTATGCTGTAATTTTAAAGCAAATGAAAAAGCAGAGTGGTGAGTTGAGTAAATGGCACGTAGGAACAGTGTAGCATTAATCCTGAAGCAATTCTGAAACACCAAATTAGTTTATTAAAAGGGTCCACATCATTGAAAATCAAATTTCCCCTCACATTTTTAAATAAAGGAGTTAAATGCAGACATTGTTTCAAAGCATATCATTCACTTCCCTGTCCATATGGTCCTTATATATGGAAACTACGCAACAAAAATAGCCTGTTTTGAATTAATTGTTTCCATGAGGTCAGGAGAACCAATTCATTTACATACATACAGAACAGAACAGAGCTCATTTATCTTGTGTCAGTCTTAAAGGCACAGTAACAAAATGGCCTTTTTAATCCTAAGCGTTAAAGAGAGGATGGAAATTGGTCATGTAAAACTGAATTTTAGCACATAAATCCACACTAATGTTACAAATGGCCCTCAGGCGGGAAAAAAACAAAACAAAACAAAAAAAAAAAACAACAAAATACAAGAAAAATGTAGAATATGGGCCTCATAGGGGTGTTTCCACAGTTGAAAGTCTGGACCTTGTTTCTGTTTTTGTTATATTGTATGCATTTGGTCCGCTTAATCTCTTTCTCTCTCTCTCACACCCTCTCAGAGAATAAGATGTGTGTTTCGGCATTTGTGCGTTTTTAAGCTGACTTTTGGCTTTTTGTTGGACCAAATTACAATTACATATTTTGTCTCCTCCTCTCCCTGTGTGCTAACAAAGCTCATTTCTACTTTTCTCACAGTTCTTTTTCTTCTTCTGTTATTTAATATCTGATGATAGCCTGCCTCAACTTCCTATAATTAGTCTAAAATCTGAACCATCCATTTTCACACTGCAAACGAATCAAACTATGGTTTAGTTGATGCGGACCGACAACCACCACTTTTGCTGGACCAAATACTGGTCCTTTAGTCTGGACTGATGTCTGAGGCACCTTTCACACCTGCTATTTTAGTTCAGATCAAACAGAAAAGTCTGAAGGTCCAAACCAAACAAGGAAGATGTAAAAGCTAAGTCTTATTTTATGTTTAAGTTTTTGGTAATAACCTGGGTGACTTCTCCTCGCAAGGTTTCCAAGCTACGTGACTCTCCCTCCTGTAAGATGTTGAGCTTTGAGCGGGCGAGGTGTAGAGGAGTCCTTCCTGCACGGTCCAAAGCGTCTACACGGGCACCTAAAATATGCCTGTAATGTTATGACCGGCAGAAACTGGCACATAAAGCATGAACGTTTCCGCATGAAGAACAAAGTTGTGAAAACTGAACAGATGGATATGAATTGTCACTCAGTTCATTTCGATGGATTTTTATTCTATTCATATCTTACCCCCTCTCAGTAAGGTAGTGATGACAGGCACGTGGTTGGTACAGGCAGCTGTGGATGAAAAAAACCACCATCAAGTCAAAACTGCATGTTATTTTAAAGGAATACTCCAGCGTTTTTCAAACTAATCTCTATCCTTTGCAATATATAGGGTATGGTCGATTACCACAGACAATTTCAAAGCGTTTCCCTGTTCACTGACTGAAGCAACTCTCCACTGGCTACCATTATAAGTATGTTTTGAGTAAACAGATTTTTTCTCTTTTCTCAAGCAAAATGGAGATACAAGATTTTGGCCCAACACTGATGACATTCTTTTAACAGTTTTGAATGCAGTTGAGTTAATACTGAGCCAAGCTTACAGACACCACAGTTTTTAACACCTGGCATAATCATCAAGGAGTTTCTCACCCAGATGCAGTGGAGTGTTCCCAAGACTGTCTCTCTGGTTTGGGTCAGCGCCATAGCTTAGCAAGAGCTGAACTAGATTGCAAGAGAGAAGAGAGAAAAAAGACCATCAGCACTGTAGCAAATGCTGGGATGGGCAGGTGCCAGAATTGTAACAGAGTGTGTTGTTCCCTATATAAAAATGTAAATAGTGGGTAGCACTTGTTGTGGAGGGGATACAAGCTAACCTTGATACTGAGGAAATGAAGAAGAAAGGCAGATAATCAAGATTACTGAACTATCTGGCCGCTGGTTTCTGGAATGGGAAATACTGAACTGGTCAGTGATACTTAAATACAGACTCTGAGACTGTCAAGCTTACCAATGCTTTCATTGCCATTGCAGGAAGAGAAGTGTAAGGCTGTTCTTCCCTTGTCATCTGCAGCGCAGGGGTCAATGCCATCTTGCAGCAATCTTCGCACTAAGAAGAAACTTTTGTTCAGATATGTTTCACCTTTTTTTTTTGTTCTTTTGGGAAATCTGTTTATATGTAGTTGCATATATTTCCTACCTGTGTCAATATCGTTTCCATTGGCTGCTTCTCTGAGCCTCTTCACAGCTGAAAAGAAAATTAACATGGGGTTAAAGGAAACTGAACACAGAACAGTGCTGCCACAGTGGAGACACACATCACTGGGTACTGAAAAGATAGTTTGCATATTTAACAGAAGTTCTTTAACACAAGTCTATTGAATCTTACTTACCTGTTCCAGCTCGACACAGCTGTTTTTCACTTCTATATTCATGTAGAACCACCCCAGTCACAGCTAATGTGTCTGCCTTACAGAGTGAATGTCACTCCGTCAAAAGAAAGATAATCCCACACAAAGTCCAGTCTTGTTTCTTTCTTTCTGGCATTACAGTAATCTGTGGGAAACATTTGCATCTACAGCCCACCATAAAGTTTTATTTACCTTCCATTGATAGTTAATATGTCTGTCACTTATGACCCCTCCCCAAAAAAGACCATTTTCCAACATCTCTTTGTCCCTTAGAATTAAACAGGTCGTTTTTGATACTGTGCCTTTAAGACCAGTATATAGAAATTGTGCTTTGTTAAATATGCTCTTGCTTGAAACACTTCTTATAACTTCAGTGTGAATGGGCGGGGCTAAACTGCTGTAGGCTGTAGGTGGGTGTAACCCATGTAAACGTAGAGGATCGATTTCGTGACAGCACAATAAAAGAATTCCAAACGGTCTGTTTTTGCTACTTATTTTCAAATATGGACTGAGTGAAATAGTACATTATTAAATATTTATTTTTTACCTATAACATGAGATGTTTTTTGTATAAAAGATTTTGGTGTAGCGGGTAAACACCATATTGCTTTAAAAATTAAACGAAATTGGGTTTCCAAGATATGGGAGCCTAAAAGAGGTCAACACAACATAGTCCAGTTTTCTTTTCTGTCGGAGTTTCTGACAAAACAACCTGTTACAGTTTAGCAAAGACAGTTTGGTCCACACACTCCACTCTTTTCTTATCTCTCTCTCTCCTTCTTTTCTTATAAGCCTCCAAAGTAACACGAAGGCTACGTTTCACTCTAAAATGTACCAGGCCAATATACTAACCTGTAGGCTACTTATCATAAAAGTCTTACCATAAATGTCTTTTCCAATGGGTCCCATAGTCCGCCGGAGCCTCCCGAGCCTTCTCGCCCGGCTCGCCGTCATCTTCCCCGGCTTGCTCCCAGCTGCCGCGTCCGTCTGCAGCAGAGCCCCGGGCGCCCATAGCGAGTGCAGGTAGCGAAGGTTTTTCTCCGCGGACTGCCCGGTCCTGTGCAACCTCAGAGCGCTCAGGGTGTCCAAGCCGGAGAAGCCGAACGCGGACGAAGCTCCCACGGCCATCCGCGCTCCATCCTCCCTCTGCTCGGAGTCTTTCAGCGGCGAGCTCCTCACCGTGTATTCGCCCTCGGAGCTGGACCGCTCGTCGTCAGAAGCTGCTGCAGCAGCAACAGGACTCCACCCGTCCATTCTCACCAACTCATTTAACAACTATAACTCCGTTTCCCTGCATTACTCAGCGTACCATCACTGAATAGTCCACATAGGTTAGCCTGTTAGCTGAACACGAGATCTGAAAATGAGCACCGACCTTCCTCAGTACCTTGGTATTTTACATAAGCTCCACGTCTATGAGCTGCACTAGTTGCTACACTTGCCAGTGGAGAAACAAGGAAACCATCCTTTCCATTGTGGTTCAATATCGATATATTGATTAGCCATTCGGTGATGTGCCACTGAGCCAAAATGTCGTCTGTTTCATGTTAGCGCTCCCCTCCAATAACAATCACGGCGATTGCGCCAACTTCGAGTCAACACAGCCAATCAAATTGCTCCTTAGTGTTCTTTTATCCAATCAGAAACCACGAACGCAAGACCGTTCACGGAAGCGCTGTATTGTAGTTTTGATAGACCACCGGAGTCGTGCGTCAGTTCGTAGTCCGTACTAAGCAGTTTGGTCTAAGCTCTATTTCTCTATGGCCAGAATGAATACAGTTTTGACAAATCGCCTCTGTCGCACTATGTGTGAAATAAAAATGTTCAGAAGCTGATGCGTTTTGTCCTGTGTACGTTTTTTATTAAAAAAAAAACTATCAGTGTTAAAACTACGAGGCTGAATTTAGCTTATTTTTGCCAGCTTCTTGTCCGAATGCTCCTGTTCCACGTTAAATTGTGCAACAGTTGTGATTAGCTATCACAAACATAAGCAAACGGGTCAAAACAATACTGACCTGTTGGTTCTGTGAAACAGCAAAAATAAGTTACTCAGCTGTCAAGCAGAAATAAAGCAACCTGCTCATATAATGCCTTTCAACTCTGTATGAAGCCGAACTCCGCTTTCGCCAGCTGCTTGTCTGAATTTTCTCGTTCCACCTTAAATGGCGCTGCAGTTCAGAATGTAACTGCTGCACCCTTTAAGTGGAACAGAAAATTAAAACGGTGCAGCAGTTACATTCTGAACTGCAGCGGCATTTAAGGTGGAACGAGAAAATTCAAACAAGGAACTGAGGAATATCCTGAGAATGTCACCAGCATTAAAATAACAACTCGCATATTTTGATAGCCTAAATCAGCTTATCAGAGGGTGAGCAGTAATATTAAGCTGAGTCTGTACTGAATTAGCTTGAGTGCAGGCCAGTTTGTACAGTTTCTCAAATCAAGCTGTGTACAAAACGGAAAGATCGATCGTGTTTCACTCAGTATCAGATGAATAACAGTTAACTCCAGAGGAAACCTGTTCGGAAATACACTACCACACTGGCACAGCATTGGCTTATATGTAGCAATATACTTCGACTCTTTAACGACCTCGTAATTCAGAGGATCCAGTGATATTCGAGAGAAGAATGTACACAGGACAAAACTCCATTCATTCTTCTCATGAAGTCCTTTTAGACCCGAAGTTCCTAATATGGGCATAAGAGCATGGCGCAGACTACAAAATGACATGAAAGTGGCCTATGGAAAATTGACGTCTACAACGTCGCTTCCTTTCAGTGTAGCTAATCATTGTAGATACTTTTTATGAGCACATTATGCATATAAACTTACTTACTGCATAGTTCTTAAAAACTTAAAAAAAAGTAGGAATAAAATAAATACTTAAAAATCCACAGCAGTGAAGCCTCTTGTACTTTGCTCTTAAAAAAATATTATGCAGTATTCTGTAGCACTTGTTTCACTCAGCTTCATAGGTCCGACAGAAATCACAGTTTTGTATTTTGTGTTTCTGTGTGTTTGTCACTTCATGGTCTCTTACTAAAATATCCAGCAAACATTGCACACTGCCCAAAACAACAAAAAAAAATCACTGATGTACCACTGATGTACAGGCTAGTAAATACAGGTGTGGGGGGAAAAAACACGTTTTCTCTCACCTTTAAAATATATCAGAAGAGGGGTTTCCTCATCATCTTTAATCCAGAAAATTTTACTCTCTGGTCTCTTGTTTTCTGTAGGAGACATTCAGGCATGTTTACAACAGATGTAGCAATGGTTATATTTTTCATTTTGGCCAGAGTGCCCCTTTCATACCAACATTAATCTGTACCAACTGGCATAATTACATAATTACATTACAAATATTTGTACTACTGGCATCTAGTCAACTATACTGCACCCAACATTTAAAAATATGCTAGTGTTGCATAACAGTGTTTATTAATATTCCTGTAAAAGTTTCAGATTCCAGCTCTGTTGTGTTCCAAACAATGTTTGGATCCGGTATACAGTCTTTTCACTATGAGAACAGTGAATCTGACATTAAACATTTACATCAGAAAAATACAAAATAAAACTCACTTTGCTTTAAATATGATCCCCATCCCAAAATTGAGAGGACTAACTCCATTGTATCATTTTGAAGCTGTGGTTTGTACAGCATTTCTGTAATCTCACTTCACTCAATACTGGCATGTATTTGCACATTTAAACATATGTAAACCTGTGAAAGTACCCAGCAAGTATAAAAAAATAAATAAAATTGTATCCCATAGCAGAACTTAACATAAACTCTACACAATAATAACATGAGCAGCTTTGCTTATACAACATCCTGACAAATAATAGTGTAATAACGATCTCTGCATTTAGTGAGTACTACAAAGAGGTATAGACGGATGAAAAGGAGTTTCATAACCACAGAGGACTTGATCTTTGGTTCTATAGGTCCCTTTAGAGGTCAAAGTTGATTGTCGAAGTTACTGCAGCAGCAGTATGCGGCAGGTATTCAGAAAACGGCCCGTCATCAGCAGGAATAACTGAGCCCTGATGTGCTGGCATGAGTCCAGCTTCCCGGGCATGCTGCCACAGGTGACTATTACCCATAAAGCCCTCTTTGTTCAGGTAGCCTTGACGACAGAAGAGGGGCGGCTTGCGATTAGTGAGAGAAAGACGAAAACAGGATTCTAGAAGGAGGGAAAAAACAGATACAGGACATAAACACCAAAGCAAGCTTAAAGTAAACAGTTATACATAGTGAAACAAGTAATTTTCTAAATTAAAAAAAGGTTAACATCCACTACAGGGAACAAACTGAAATATTATATTTTTCTGCAAGTTTTAAGGGAAATTTTCTATTTATTTGCTGAATTTAATATAGGGAGGAAAATAAAACATAAAACATAAGATGTGCCAAACATTTTACATTTTATTTTTTCCTATTACGTTAAATTTAGCAAATCAACAGTAATTGTGCATTAAGCTGTACGGAAGTGTGTTCTTAGTAGAGGATGTATTGACTTAATTTAACAAACAAATTGTAATTTGACCAGGGATACCCAACTTTTACATAAGACTTCAGTCTTTTTTCATTTCAATTTCAATCATATTCGTTTATTTCTTCTGTAAAGCACTCTGTGAACTTGTTTTTTTTTAAAACCACTGAATAAATAAAATATATAAATTTTAAAGTAAAAAGTTTTCTTCTTCTTCGTCTTCTTATTATTAGATTATGGCATAATCACTTTTTCTCCCTTTAATTTCCTTTTACTAAATATACCACTTGGCATTGTTATGGCGGAGTTTTCCCAAAGCATCTTAACTCAAAGACGATTCTCAAATGGTAGAGTGAGCATCACACTGAGCACTCTCTCAACTATTTAACACTCCTTACACCAAGATGCTTTTGGGAAACTAAGCCCAGTTTAGTTATTTAGAGACTATAAATCCAAAGCGTTGTTGCTTTGAGTGGTCTAATCATACCTTCACTTATACAGTCCCTTCTTAATGTACCCACCTGCGTAAAATGCTCTGAGGTCGGTTTTAAGGCAGTGTTCAAGGAAGCGTCTGAGTGGCTGGCTGTGAGAGATGGGCTGGTCCCATTCGGTCAGGAAGTCTTCAACCATGTGATGCACAGCATCAGGACGTGGCAGTGGCCAGCCAACTGGACGCTGCCTCATGTCTTTTTCTGTGGATAAACAAAATAAAAATGGTTGAGCCATGGTGTAGTAACTCCCCATGTAGTAGTACATCTGCATGCTTGTATAAGGCAAGCAACATGTTAAGAACAACAGACAGAAGTTACTTGCCATTCCTGATGCAGTACATCATTTTACTATCAAAATTTTAAACATGACTTCCACAAAATGAAATAGCTGTATTCCTCTACTTACATCAGCACTTCAGATATATTTCTACATAACCTCTACATTCATGCACTTTGAATATAATCATGCATTGATTTTTACCATTATTTCTATTTATGTAATGCTCCCTTACCTGTGGGCAGTGTGCGGTAGTAGTAGATGACAGGGTGAAGGAAGTTGGACTTCCAGGCTTTGGTCCACTCTGATTCGGCCCGGCCTGGCGCAAGGGTGTTGGTGTGGTTCAGTCCGTACTGCATGACCACAACCAGGAGACCATGCTCAGATATACGCCGGCCAGACAGAGCAGAGAACTGAGGCAGAGCCTGCACGGGAAACTCCTCCAGATATTCACAGTGAGCTCTGAGAGAGAGATCATTCTGATTTAAACAGAGCACTGAGAATAAAAAAGACTGGAGAGCAGTCTTTTCACTTCAAGTCATTGATTTATAGATGGATTCACTGAGAACAACGAAACAGAATCAGCTCTCACCCTTGCAGTAGTATAATGTCCCCCAAAACTCCAAACATTTGGTATGGTCCAGAGGCTTCATTAACTCTTTTCAAAATCCAAGACAGTAGTTGACTGGTGGACAGTCTGGCAGCTGGCCAAGCGTTGTTATGGTAACGCTGCTCCAAGACCTTATGTACGGCACGCACTACAGTATCAGACATGAGAGTTACTAAAGCATCAACAACCACACTGAATTTAACTTGGTGTTTTGGGAAAGGTTAGGGGAGGGGTCCATCGGCCAATTCTGCTGTAAAGAAATCAGAATCTCAATTTTCCATAACAATTAATGATCGGTGCATCCCTACATCTAATCTACATATAAATGTAAATGTACTTCATGTTACAAACTTAAAATACTAATTGCAATTTTGCTGGAAACATGCTTGTCCATATAGTTTCTCACAGAAATTTGAAGAAATAACTATGGGTGGCTCAAGGACTGGGTCAGAAAAAACAATCTCAGAATATCATGGTAGGAGATGATATTTAAGTTTGCATTGATAAAACTAATAAAAAAAAACATACTTCTGGATAACTGCTCCTCTGTGATCAAAGAACATTTAACAAACCTAACATAGTTTGGTTTCAATGGACTGCTTTATTCTGTTTTATTCTCTTAAAATAATACCAATTACCCCATACAGTATTGTGAACATTTAAAGGAAGCATATTTTCTTTTTTTTTAATTTTAAACTGTTCTTTCAAATTTATCTGAAAATATGTGATAAAAATATTGCTGAAACCAAAAAGCAATATCACTGGTACACCAGAACAGACAACATGGTGCACAGCAGAAAGTAAGAACTACAGTAAGTAAACAAAAAAAAAAAAAAGCATTTTTCAGTTCAAATACTGTCCATTATCTAAGTCCACCATTCCATAGCAACAGAGGTTAAATAGTTTATGGCCATTATTAACAGTAAACATCTATTGTTAAACAAGACTTTCAGACACCAGCTGCAAGCAACAATAACAACATGCAAGCTGACCTGTGTAGCGAAATCCATGAATGAACCCTCCAGCTGACGTCCGGTAGTCTCTGGAGTGTGCAGCTGTTCCTAGGACGAACAGATTGGGGGTTCCTCTGCCCTCGTACCACGCCGTCACTGCTGGAAGACGGCCACGAGCACAACTGCTGTGTGGCAGACGGGCTGAGCTGGAGGACAAAGCAAATAATACACAGTCCATCAAACGTTTGCCTTCTTAATATTATTATGTTTATAATAAGATCTAGTAGGCTGTTATAAAATGTTCATACCCATTAAAGATGGTGAAGTTAAAGCGGAACCCCAGGCAGCGGATCACACGGTCATATGGTTGACGTAATGAGAAGTTGTCATCATGGTACCCAGGCAGATTTTCAGCAGTGATGTTAGCACTCTTGCTGCTGTCCTGGCCGTCCAAAAGCTCAGAGAGTGTGAGGTAGAACTGTTCTTTTCTCTCTGAAGACGTTGCAGTCCTCTTTTTTCCAGTTCTCTTTTTCCCTCCTTCTCTTCTCCTACGGACAATTGCAATGTCCTCCAGTCCTCCCTCCACTAAGCCATCTAGAGATTTCAGCTGGTATGTGTCTAACAACTCATTATTCACTGCCCTAAAAGCCAAAGATAAGTGAGGAAAGTAAGCACTCAGCATGGTGACACACAGCCAAATACAAAATACTTAAACAGTAACAAAATTTATCCCTGTCTGAGTAATAAAAAATTAAGTGAAGAACAAAGTAAACCCGAAATCATAATAGACTTTTTGTTTTACGTTGTTAGTTCATGTTCTTGGTCATACTTCATCATATCACATCATTTAAAAGACAAAAGTCTTGTTTTTCCTGTCATCTTTCTCATAACCAAAATGTAGACACATCTGCCTGTCTTGAAAATGTCTTCAGAGTTCAAATAATATTAACCAATAACATCATCTTTCACAACCAAACGATCATCTGGTGAAAATGCATGGCTAACTCAGAGACCATCCCTAATACCATCGTTTGTTCAGAAATAGGCCATGTTATGAAAGGGAAAGGCATTGTAATTTCTGATTCACGCCAACTTTCAGGAATACTTCTTGTTAATTCCCCCAACCTATTTTCTATGTGCTTAAACTATGTGTATGGACAAAATAACTGGAGCGCCATTTCATTCCGTAAGTTTTAGTCAATGGGCTTTTCTCTTTTACTTAGTTCAGGAAAAGGTGAAAATTTGTTGTCCACGGTAACTGAGGCTATGGTACAGATGTGTCACAAAGCACACAGGTCCTCCAGATAGTCCATATTTTTGCTCAATCCCATCGCCCAGCACATAGGGACTGGATGTCTGGAGGGCTGGTTTGTTGAGAACAACTGCCTTAAAGGAATGTACCTGAGGTCTCCAACATAATGTGTTTGCCAGGCTAGTCGTACAGGACTCGGGCTGTAAAGATGGATCCGACTGGCTCTGCCCAAAATGCTCTGCGCTGTCTCGAAGGCTGAGTTTCCTTTGCCCAGGATCAGCACAGCCTGATCTTTGTACTCCTCAGGATCAGTGGAAATGGACTCATAGCCTTCCACTAAATCAGAGCCGACAAAGTCCACCTGCTCAGGAACCCACAGGCCTGTGGACACTAACAGAACTCTAGAAACAGTAGGAAAGACAGTGTCGGGAGGTGAAAGGTAGGAACAAATAAGGGAATAACTTTTCCTTATCTGTTTAACACTGATACTATGATAAACAGACATAAGAAACATAAATCACAACAAAGGTCTCCTGCATAGAGCTATGGATTTTTATTCCTAATAGGGACACAAAGATGCGTCAGTGTATCGTGATGTTGACTCAACCATGCAGATTTTAAAACACTGGTCTTGATTCCATTTGTTGATACTGACCAAAATAATATTCAATTAAGTATGGATCATTTTCCACCAAAACAAAACTTCCTGGGTTGTTTCCATGCTTGGTGCACCCGTTTTATTGTCGATATTACAGAGTTGTGTACAAGTTTTCACTTTATTTTAAAAACAGTTCTGAATCCTACATAATTGACCGAACAGAATAGTAATGAAATTTAAGATTTCATGATGCACTTGAATTGATCTGAAACATTGTGAAGTCAGATTTATAGCACCAATTCCTAATGCAGAACATGCAAGATTGATCTGTAAGAATGTGCAAAACCGCTGCTACAATACCTGCATTTATAATCTGTCCCATGCTGGTCGGTCAATATGTAGCTTTTGCTTCCAGTCAAATCCGAAGCTCGAACCCTTCCTACATCGGTCCCATATTTAACCTTCAGCCCCAGCTCGCTCTCAAAAATAGAGAGGTAGAGAGGGTAGGTGTCAGCCTCAGGGTAAAGGTCCCGGCTGATTCTCTGAAACAGCAGGTCTGGCCTGTCACTCAGCAGGGAGTTCCAATCATGGCGCAGGTTGAATTCCTTGTTCTGCCTGCCTGTGTAGATTTTGTTGATGCTGATAAGTTTTCTGTGCCGAGGATACCTAAAAAGAAGACAGCAAACGATACCATGTAACTTTATAGGCAACAATACCCTCCATTAATGGCAAAATAATATTTGCCTTAAAGAGGAGTTCAGTTCAGTTCAGAATAGCAAATTATGAAATGAAAAGCAGTAAAGATGACAAAATGCTTAGCTGCACAGGCTCTTTAAACCTGCATAAACATTTATGTTCAAGTTGCCCTCAAATCTGGCTCTCACTGAGTGTAATAGGACAACTTCTACAGAGTTCACTCACTTCTGGAAAAAACTTCCAGGTCCAGCATTTCTCTCTAGTATTATGTAGTCTCTTTGACTGCGAGAGAGGAAGTAGCCCATCTGCAGGCCTGCAGGTCCAGCCCCAAGCACGCAGTAGTCGTGGTGATGGGTGCTGTTGTCACCATGGTGATGGTCAGGGACACTGAGGACCAGAGAAGTGAAAGACAGAAGGCAAAGGAAAACCAGGACCAGCTCCATGGGCACTGATGAAGAAACAACAGAATATGTATTACATTTTAAATGTAGTACAAAGGATTAAGGTACAGTATATGAAACTATGCTCTGTAAGAAAACACAGTTGGAAGAGTCACACAATAGAGTCTTGTGAATATTATTTTGAAACCGACAAAGCCCTGAATCCAAAGAGAACTACAAGGTGCACTAACTTAACATTTCTCTTTCAGCTATGAACTTGAAGACAGGCTAACAATAACACGTACAATCACTTTATTAGGTACACATACCTTGTATCTACACTTTGTAGTTGTACAATTACAGACTGTAGTCCATCTGTTTCTCCACATACTTTGTTAGCCGCCCTTTTACCTTCTTATTCAATTGTCAGGACCCCCCCCTGGACCACCACAGAGCAGGTATTACTTACTTGGTGGATCATTTTCAGCACTGCAGTAACACTGACGTGGTGGTGGTGTGTTAGTATGTGTTGTGCTAGTTCGAGTGGATCAGACACAGCAGTGCTGCTGGAGTTTTTCCAACACTGTGTCCACTTACTGTTCACTCTATTAGACACACATACCTTGGTGGTCCACCTTGTAGATGTAAAGTTAGCGACCATAGCTCATCTGTTGCTGCACAGTTTGTGTTGGTCCCCTGATGAAGGACTAGAGCAGGGGTGCACAACTCCAGGCGTGGAGGGCCGGTGTCCAGCAGAGTTTGGTGATTTACCTGCTCAGACACTCCTGATTACATTCATCTGTTAATTGCCAGTTTTAGTGGGTGTGTTCTAGCAGGGAAACTACCAAACTGTGCTGGCCACTGGCCCTCCTGGACTGGAGTTGTGTACCCGTAGACTAGAGGATTCTAGCTATTGGCTGGATATTTTGGTTGGTAAACTATTTTCAGTCCAGTAGTGACACTAAGGTGTTTAGCATCACTGCTGTGTCTGGTCTACTGATACCAGCGCAACACACACTAACACGCCACTACGACATCAGTGTCACCGCAGTGCTGAGAATAATCCACCACCCAAATAACGCTCTGTGGTGGTCCTGACCACTGATGAATGGGGTAAAGGTGGGAAAAATTATGCAGAGAAACAGATGGACTACAGTCTGTAATTGTAGGAACTACAAAGTGCACCTATATGGTAAGTGGAGCTGATAAAATGGACAATGTAGATACAAAATTGGTGCACCTAATGAAGTGCTCTCTGAGTGTATGCTGACTGAAATCAAAAACTGTTTACAGCACATAGGATTTGCTATTTGGCTGTGCTCTGTAAAAAAAATGTTTGAAACACCCTCGGCCAGGATTTGGGTCTTTAGTTATAGAGGTGTTCGAGTGATTTGGTTTCCCGGGTTCTGGTCACTCAGTTAAAGTAGCTAACCTAGGTTAGCTAAACCCTGAACTCCAAGTGTAGATTAACGTAGGTTAACTAGCTAACGTTAAGTTGCAGAGGTCTATAGAGTCCACAGAGCGGCGTCCCCGAACATTTCTCCTTCAGCTGAATCGGGTGCAGGTTTTATTTTGCACATTCAGACATCGCTGTGAAGGTGAACCCAACACATGCTAAATGTAAATGTTAAAAACACAGCGCTCTGCAGAATTAAGGCCTGAATGGTCGTCCCCGCGCTGCTCTTGCTCCGCTATCCGCCACCAGGGGCTCGAATCCCGGGCAAACGCCGAAACTCTCACCGCGATACATGAAGCGGAAATCACTGAATGAAAATATCACCTTCGTATAACTGAAACGACGCACCTCTCACCAAAACGGATCACTCTGTCCCTCAAAAATCGGTGCAGGACTGCTCAATGATCTGAACTGGATAAACATCCCTGCGCCTCTCTCAGCCTTTTCCACAACATCTTCATCAGTGCGCAGCAAACCACGCACACCGCGTCACTGACAGCGTCATGATCCCCCGCCAATGAGATTAGAGGAGGGCGTGGCCTATCAGCCATCTTGTATATAATCCATAACATTTTTGATGAAAAACATTTTCAGTTTCAGTACAAAATCTATTCATATCCAACTACCAACTATAGTATGATAAGTAAAAACAACACAACTTGTTCTGATTGATCTAAAGCGATGAGTTATTGCAAAACATTATAACCTTATAAACATCTACAAGAACAAATTTCTGTGCTTTTGTTAAAATCAGTCTGTAAATTATTTGATGTTTTTTCTGTTAAAAAGTTCCATTCAGTTCAATTGAGTTTTCACCGTCTTGGAGTAGTGGAAACCGTGAACTGACTGGTATAAAGATTTTCATTTCTATTTTTGATGTATTAACGGAATGCACTACCAAGCTTGCATTTGAATGCAAAATATTAAAAAAGGAAAATTTTGAACATGTTTGTATGATACTAAACTTGAGCGTTATATTGAACGTCCGGTAAAGTTTGAATGAAAAAAGATATAAGATGTTAATATGATGAAACACTCCCGGCCTGCTCCGCCACTCATACAGAACCAAAATCACTATTTAGCTTTTATGTGACGGTAACCGGACGAAACAAGTCACGAGCCAGTTATACAGCTGTAACAAACATAGAATTATGGCTGATTTCCACTGTTTAAAAATATGTGAAAAGTGTTGGTCAAAAGTAACACAGAACTAGAGACCGGTACTCTAGCGCCATCATCTGGTCACAAAAGTCACTACTTTCAAAAACGATGACTCAAGTAGAAGAGACGAACACCGAGCAGCACAAGAGTTATATACGAACAAGCAGCATTTAGCAACACGATAACGATTTACTTAAAAGAAGTGACTAAGCGGTGACATTATAACGGTGTATTAATACACACACACACACACACACACACACACACATTATATATGTATATATATATATATATATATATATATATATATATATATATATATGTATATGTATAATGTGTGTGTGTGCTTTTAAATTCTTCCCAGTTTTCATTTTTCTTTTATTTCTGCTGTGTCATGGTTCCGCGGTCCTCCAGCTCTCTGTGAGCTGAGTCATGTTAAGAAACACAGACGCTGATTAGATCATGACCTGCGAAAACACGCGAGCTCATGACTGTAAATACTCCCAGATGACATCTGTGTCCAGCCCGGTTGTTCTTCTGAGTATTTGTGTTTTAGTTTAATGACTCTCTCCGGCTCTGAGTCTTACTCACGGCTGAAATATGTCCACTCATGGTAAGCTCCGGCATGTGAGGCATTACTCAACATTCTCACTTCCCATTTGATTGAACTTGCGAACAAGAAGGGAAAGGAGTGGATATAAAAGAGGCAGAGAGGACCATGAGAAATCAGAGCAGCTGTCAGCTCAGAGCAGAAACAGCAGCGACTGGACTTCACACAGCAATAATTCGGGTATAATTCATTATCCTTCTGAGGAGGACAAATCAACAGTTCATCAAAGACCTACAGTTTCAGAGATGGACAGCACCAAGAGCAAACCAACAAACAGTGGACGAAGGTGAGAATCCGCTCATCAAACCATATTTGCAAACTTACCTTCAAATATGTAGTTAGAGGGACGCAGGAAGTAGGGGGCTGAGAGGGGTGCTGCACCCCTGATATCAGTACTGCAACTATTAAAAGTAATAATAACTACTTTGCACAGTAAAGACCCATGTGTGCTCGTTTAAAAGTGCAGATTGTATTTTTATGTTTTAAAAATCTGCAGTAGCTGAGCTCATAAAGTGAGCGCCGTATTTTCAGTATGGTGAGTTGAAAGAAATCGGCTTTTTTGACGTTTATTGTCACATCACATTTACAAGGTGCGTAGGTGAGTGAAAATCCTAGCACCCTTGTAGCACAAAAACAAATAAAAAGTACATAAAAATATGTACACGTTAGACTCTAAATTTACACATTAATATAAACCAGTATCGCACCATTTCCAATGCACAGATTTTTATCAGCAACATAGGTTATGAAATAAAAGCTATAATATGTACAGTTGTACACATTTCCATATATGCAATTAATGAGTCTGAGGTAGACAAATTCAGGTGGAGGTTACACCGGTGAGCCGGTGGTCTGATGTGTCAGTTATATGTGTATATAGTCGTCTCTCGCCTCATTATAGCTCTGTATGACGTGTACTATTAGATATACATTAGAAATAAATAAATAAAAAAGGCAAATCATTTTTAATGACACGTCATATAGGCTATACGCTGCATAAAAGTTCAGCCCCCCTAACGTAAAACATCTTCCCGCGTCCCTGAATATGTAACTTCAAAGAAAAGGAGCTGTAGTAAATCTACAGGATACTATAAAGGACATTTTAAAGTGTTTCTGTATGTTATAATCAGTTCAGATAGTTTTTATATAGTTTACTACAGAATATTACGCAAGTACTGTAAAACAGTACCCTAAGAAGATTATTCAGAGGTGAAAATACGATTATATAATTATTGTACAGCACTGTTGAATAGTTTCTAATACAGATATTTTATAAGAGTGCAATCAAATATACATTTATACATACTTATGCATTTAGATAGGTAGATAGATAGATAGATAGATAGATAGATAGATAGATAGATAGATAGATAGACTAGAAAATTCTGGTATAGTGCATACTTTTTATGGACATCTTGGTCAAATCCCATTGAGTTCATTTTGTGTGGCTGAAACAGGGATAGTGAAGACTAATTGACACATAATAACAGTGCATTTATAGTAATATAATACATAATAACAATATAAAAACAATGTATAATAAGCAACAGTTTTTTGGATCTTCGGATCAACAACGGTTGTGTAAAATGTGCTTTATAAATAAATGTTGCTTTATAAATGAATGATATTTCATTGCTTACTTTACATAAAGTGCTGTATGTACATCCACAGAGATCTGTCAGAGCAGATAAAAGAAGTGACCAAAGATAGCCATGTGCGTGCTGAAAACACCCAGCTAATGCTGAACTACCAGAAAGGGCAGATCACTCTGCCGCAGTACAAGGTATGAATGCTCATCAGTGGCTGGTATCTATTCTACACATCAACTGTTTAAAACACAGACATGTCATTAAATGGTAAACAGTGGAACAGTATGAATAAATGCTGTTTTAACTTTCTAATCATGCTGAAGAGAACATTTCATAAAACTGCTAGTCTCTTTTCCCACGGTGAGCACTACCTTAAAAAAAATGACTTTGTCTATTTCTCTTTCTCTTCCCTTCTGAAAAATGAACCCAGTTCTCTAAATCTGCATGCTCAGCTCTCAAGCATTTCTTTCTCATTGCGTTTGCAGCTTCTCCTGTGTTCTCTGTACGAGATTTACCGAGCCCTGGAAGATGAGCTGGACAAAAATTCAGGTCACCCAGCAGTGGAGCCCATCTATTTCCCCCAGGAGCTGGCCAGACTGGAGCCCCTCGAGAGAGATCTGGAGTATCTCTTTGGCCCACAGTGGAGAAAAAGAGTCACAGTACCTGCAGCAACAGTCAGATACACAGAGAGACTTAGAGAGGTACAGCCCACAACACAGTATAACATATTATAAAAGACGTAATTTATAACAAATATAAATAGTTTAGTGAAAAATAACACTTGGACAATTTTTAATCATCCTAAATGTACTTGATAAGCTATGATGAAAAACAGACAAAAAGATTCAAAAGTTTCCTAATGCTAGCTACTGTTTTAGCAATATGACATACTTCTGTCCATTTTTATGGACAACAGAAAGTCACAGCGTGTCAGGAACCACACAAATCTATTTAGGATAACAACTTAGTTTGGGGCAAGTGTGAAATGATTTGGCATGTAGTTTGCACAGTGCAAATGGGTGGGATATAAGCTTCTGTTACTTGTAGTTTCAGTGCAAACCTAAAGAAGCAAACTTCAGACTCCAACCATGTCTTTGGCTGATTTACTACATTTGAGCTAAAGGAAAAACTGTGTAATTGATTTAATAGCTGAACTATTTCTTCTAATCACTTCTAATTAATGTGTGGATGCTAAAGCAATGGGAATGTGGCTGAAGCTGCTACAGAACAAACAGCCCCTGTGAAAAATGACTAGCACAGATTAATGCTTAGGCCATACAGTATTTGCTGATGAGGGATCAACATCTAAAAGAACTACTTTTTTTAGCGCCATTGTAAACATAGCATGATCGCCGTAATGTCTGCAGGGTGATTTTGTGGTACTTTGATGGAATCCACCCCCTGATTACTCTGAATGAGGATATGAAAGTGCCATGTACAATGACAGTTTACTAACCCACACTTCTGTTTTTCTTACTCAGATTGGCAGATGCAATCCCAATCTCCTGGTGGCTCACGCTTACACCCGTTATCTTGGTGACCTGTCAGGAGGTCAGGTTCTAGGAAAAATTACCCAGAAAACCATGGGGCTCAGCAACACTGAGGGTGTGGCCTTCTTCTCATTCCCTGCAGTGACGAGTCCCCATCGCTTTAAGCAGCTGTACAGGAGCAGGATGAACAGCATTGAGCTGACTGAAGAGGAGCGCAGGAAGGTCCTGGATGAAGCAGTCAGGGCTTTCGAATTCAACATTGAAGTAAGTATCATCAGTGGGATCCGTTAGCTTTAGTGACAAATTCATACATTACAACAGGCTACATTTTAGTAAATACTACACTATACACTACATTATTAACTTAGGATCCTATACTATACAAAACACTTCAGTATATACTTAAACAACTGACACTTCACTCGATGTACCCCAAGGATCTACCACTTTTTAAGACTGTAGTATGTTATCAGGGGTGTCCAGCCTTATCTACAAGGGCTGCTGTGGCTGCAGGTTTTCATTCCCATCAAGCATGAGAACACCTGATTCTACTCATTTAACCAGTTGGTCTCAGTCTTCAAACAGCTGATCATGTGTGCTCCACCTTTATTGGAATCAAAGCTTGCAGCC